ATGTGGGACTCGATCCCGGGACTCCAGGATCATGACCTGAGCCGAAGGCAGCCGCTTAACCAACTGAGCCACCCAGGCGCCCTCTTTTCCCCTTTTTTGCCCAGTTAGTTCCTTCCTGTCCTTTAGGAGAGGACCTCCTTCCTCTAGGAAATGACTTTCCCTGATAGACCCAGCTCCACCCCACCATACATGTATTTTAGGCGCCCTTCCCACTTCCCCCAGAACACCGTGCCCTCTATTATTACCCAGCTTCCATATCGTTTGTAAATTCTCTGTCCCTTTTTGTAAAATTATTTTTCTCTCATTCTATTGAAAGTTCCTTGAGGTCAGGAATTGGGTTTTATCTGTCTGTGTGGTTGAAGTACCTCTTAACAGCAGATTCACTCAGTAAGATGTGTTGAATGAATTCATTCTCCAACAGAGAGCACAGTTCACTCCTGTGGTCGGCTTTTAATTTGCCCATCCTCTGTCCCCGGTCATCTCCAAGGTAGTTGGGCAAGCGGGATCTTCTCCCAGAGCTCGGCTTCCTGTGAGACAAAGTAGGAAGACAGCCGAATTAGCCGACAGAGAGGAAGGGCCTGTTGGAAGGTGTTGGAAAGTGGGTTCATAGTGATGGGCCGGAAGGTTTGACGGGAGAAATAGTTATCTGAGAGGCTGTGATTACTCCTCTTTCTGAACCTTGTGCACTATATATTTTGAAAAAATTGAAGTAAAATTCATGGAACATAAAATTGTCTTTTAAAGTATGCAGTTGAGTGGCCTTTAGTACATGCACACTTGTACAATCCACCACCTCTCTCTAGTTCCAGAACATTTATCATCCCCAAAGGAAACCTTGTCCCTATTAAGCAGCCACGCATTCTCCCTTCTCTCAGCCCCTGGCAACCACTCATCTGCTTTCTGTCTTGTCGGTTTACCTGTTCTGGATGGTCCCTGTAAATGGAATCCTAGAGTATGTGCCTTTTGTGTTTGGCTTTTTTCACCTAGTGTGACGTTTTTAAGGTTCATGTTGTAGAATATGTGAGTGCTTCCTTTCTTTTTATAGCTGAATAGCATTCCATTGTATGGCATAGCATGTTTTGTTTATCCATTCATCAGGTGATGGACACTGTGGTGGTTTCCATCTTTGGGCTATTGGGAATAGTCTGCTGTGGGCATTCGTGTGCAAGTGTTTGCACACCTGTTTTCACTTCCTCTTGGAGTATACCTAGGAGTGGAATCGCTGGGTCATGTGGGAATTCTGTGTTTAGCTTTTTGAGGATTGCGTTATACTTTTTATGTGTATTCATGAAGGTTCGTTTATGCAGATTGACTTTTAAGATTCATTCACTTTTTAATCGAATGTTTCTTAGTGATACTTTATAAGAAGATGAGGGGGCTTTGTCTGGTTTGGCCATATATATTTTTCTGTGAAATACCCATTTTTTAAATTTCACTGTTCCTTTTCACAAATCCCATATTTATGTTTGTTTTTCCATGTGAACAACAGCAGCTTTTTTTTTTTTTTTTAATTTAAACCTCTGTGTTTATATTTTGTTTCTGTCTTCCATTAACCATGTTCCTCTTTTCCTCTCCAGGAATCTTATATGTTAAATTTCCCTGCATTTACTTATTTACTCCCTGGCAACACATCATCTCTTTTCAGCTGCTTCTTCCTTCCTCTCTGCTGGTAATACAAGTTTTGCTTGAAAATTCTCTTTTCTAAAGCTTTTTTTTTCCTTCTGTAGTTGTGGGTGGTCTTACATTATTTTTTAAAGTTATTTTCTTTACACTAAGATATGTGATATTTGGTTCGCATAACCAAAGATCACTATTGAAATTTCGGTTTAAGAAACTGTAAGAAAAAGTATGTGGATTGTGTTTGTCTCTGTATAAATAGAAAACTATGCACACAAGAAGTACTATTGAGTTAGCTAACTTGAATGCATTCTACTAATTACCTGTAAATCCTCTCATCTTGGGACACACCTTTTTAAAATCAGTTTCATTTCAAAGACATAGCTCAGTTTTGTTTTTAAACGTAAATATGATATTTTGTATGTTTAAAATGATGACAAAGTGATGATGGGGATGTTAATCTGAACTTTGTGATGGCCATTAGTAAACATCAATAGTATAAGGGCCCTCCTATTGGACTCCAGTATCCTGTCCTTTCATCTTTATGCATATGAAAACACAGCAAGTGAATAACATTAAAGACAAAAAAAAAAAAGGCAAGGTAAGAGTATCTTAGCCATATGTAAATGCTTAAAGGAAAAACAATATTCCACATGATAGCTTGCCCTCATCAGTTTTAGCAGCTGGTCTTGTACACCTCTCTTTGGTGTATAGTTTGGGCATAGAAATTCTCAGGTGTTTTTGATTATTCTCAAGAGTAATGCATTATCAATTTAGTAATTATATTAAATGTTATGCGGGACATTTCTTCTAGGCCTCCTAAATTTTACCTTTATATTTCGCTTTTTATTGCATATACATTGAAAAAATTTTTAGACCTTCATTTTTTCTTTTGATACAGAAAGGATCTAAAGTTAACATAATTTTGGGCAACTTTTAAAAGTCCTTTTAAAGACAGTTTATGGGGACAGCAGATAGCTCAAGACTGTGTTTTCTATAGAGAAGTACACAAACGCAGTGTTGTAAATCTTACTGTTGATTTGAGCTTCGGTGATATAAAAAACAAATGGCATGATTAAAAGAGAAAACTCATTTTTTTTTAGAATAACAAGAATTTTGATGAATCTGGACGGACCAAGCTGGCGGGAGAGGTTGTCCCCCATTCCTGCTGTGCCCACATCTGCGCATTTGCGAGCTTGGCAGCCTGTGGCAGAGACGCCCCCCAGCCAAGGGGGGGATTCCTGCAGCCGGCCCCAGCCCGGCAGCACAGGTGGGCGAAGCCTACACACCCTTCTTTTCAAGGTTACCTTGAGCTGCGTGTCTGTTTTCACAGGAAAGCAGAAGGATAAGGGCGTTAACTCAGGCATCAGACCCAGGTTTAAGACCCTGTTCGCCCTCTTTCTAACTAGAGTCTTAAGAAGTTGCTTCCCACATCCAGTGTCCTAGTGTGTATGAAAGGGGGGAATATGAATAACTGTCTTGTGGCGTTGTTCTCAGGAATAAATGGAGAGATGCATACAAAATACTTAATAAAGGTTTAGTTAGCATTCATAAGAAAAAGAAGTAGCATGTAGTTCTCTTTTTTTTTTTTTT